ATCAGTAGTACCAGTCGTTTTTGGACAAATTTTGTACTGCTCGTCCAATGTAGATGAATCTATCTGAAAATGATCGACTCATCTAGTCTTGCTCGTGGCCCACCAAGCTCGAGGTTGGATAGCAGATCCGGCATTGAGCGAAATTGTTTGGCTCTATTTGGTGTGATGTTTGCTGGTACGTAAGTGTCCTTCTCGATCACTACTACTGTCACCAACCGTGTATAAAGCCAAATTTAGGTAGAAAATTTCACGGTAAAGTCATACATATGCTCTAGATCTCTCTCTGATCGCATTGACTTAAACGTCCACTTAACGTTAGACATGTCTCGCGTGATATACGGACCTCAGATCGGTAAATCCTCGCGTAAGTCTTTTCTCAGTGATCTAGCCCAAACTCACATTTAATAGACGCAGCTGGAGATGTTTAGCGGCACAATACGGTACGTATTTAGTGCCGTATCGCCGCCGCAGAGCCTGATTTTCAGCATCCGAGGCGGCCACCGCTCCGCCAGCACCAGGTCGGATCAAAACATTCATGCGCTTCTGCGCCGACGGTTTCGCTCGCATGGTGCAACGCTTGAGATCGGTTGATATGGAGGGTGAGTACTGAGTTCTCTGCAATCAATCACACAACTAATACAATGTTCTAGAGATGAATTTACTACTACAGGATGCAATACCAAACACCATGCATACCAGTATTACCATCATGATAACACCATAGTACTACCTACTGGAAGTAGTACTCGCCATACTAACTCTCCCCATTAATCATTCATGCACATGTATCACTGTATTGGTACCATTTTTCAAATCAAGTCGCAACAACAACAATTCATGTACCACGTAATTAGAACAAGTATAAAAATACTACTACTACTACTACTACTACTACTACTACTACTACTACTACATAATAGATCAATATGCAATGTCGAGGATTTTTACAATATTCTATTTTCGTGTACGAGCTGTCTGGTAATCCTTACAAGTCGGAGAGCCGAATTAAAATGCAGTTTTCGAGGTCTTTTGTGATATCCGTAAGGCTCGGGTGTGGGTTCATGTTCGGACTTTGTGGAAGAGTTGTTGTGGGAACCGAGTAAAGTCCGAGTGATAACAGGGTACCGGATACTCCTTTGCTGGGAGTTGAAGTAATGCACGCTGTAGGGAGTAATATCCCTACAGGCTCGTATCCCCTGATATATACATCGACCTCATCACTATCCTCATGTAGGCACAGTCCAATAGAGTCGCGCGCAACACGCGCGACCTTCCGCGCTCTTCCGCGACGCACGCAACCTTCCGCGCCCTTCCGCAGACCGGCGCTATCCTCGGCATATCCTCCCATGTCCTGTCCTGTCTGTCCGGTACCGTTGGTGCGTACTCTCACTGTCATCTCCGTCTCTGACCACATCCAGGGTCTTTTACATAGTGTTACATACTTATCCGCTTCCTTGCGCGCTTCCGCGCAGCCTATCCGCTTCCCTTACGTCTCAATACCCTGAGAGCTCGCGTAGCGACCTACATATCTAGAAGACTCAGAGGATTTCGGACTTACTTACTTTTCCCTTACTTGGACTGACTATCAGTTTCCTGTCTACTCGCGCTTAGAGCGCTAATATCATTGCTGTCATTGTCTATCATCTTCTTTGTCTTGTGAAGTCTCGTTCCTCATCCAAAGGGAGCTCCTACGATCCTCTGCAACTCTTCTCCCATCGCGCACGTACCGCGCGCTTTCCGACCCTTCCGCACGGCTCGCGCTTTCCGCGCGTTCATCACATCAGCCTCACGCGTTCCCGCGCGCCTTCGCGCACCTTCCGACTGGAGCCTTTCTCTTGATCCCTCTCATCACTTAGAGAGATTGACTCAGTAGCATCCCCTAAGGGACGATTCTACTAGCTCGCCTCTCGAGGTAGATATTCTTGTGACTCTCCGGAGTTTGCATTCCTATTTCCTCACCCACAACGCGCGTACCATGTTCTTATCAACATTTGGGCGCCGAAGGACTTCGGAAGGGTAACAGGGCACCTACGACTCTTCCTCAGGTCATTAAGGAACCGAGCTAGCTAGCTCGGAGTCAGGGTTCTCGACTGTCACATTTCTGGAAAACAAGTGTTTCGTGAAGCGGATGCCGTGATACCGCAGCAGATCAGCTCCCGCGTTGTATGGGTCGGTAAAGGGCGCAATCTCACTGCCATTGCGAGACATCATGTTGCGCCCATGAGTTGTGATCCGGAGCGACAAAATAATAAAAAGGGGTCTACGTTGCCCACCTATGCTAAGTCAACAAACCAAACCAATCAAAAAAACGAACATCACTCACATCTGTGAGTTCTGACCACCTATGTGTATGCACCGTAATTCTCATCTGTAGGATTACAAGTATGAGTAAGAAAATGCAAAGCGCCATCATCTCTGCCCTCCTGGCAGGGAAGGCATGGATATTTGATGACGACGAGACTCTGAAGGAGATATACGGGCTAGGCCTGGATATGTTCAAGGAGCCACACCAGCACCTGTCAGACAAGCAGCGGGTGTCATTGAACGCCATGCTTGATGTTGCAGAGGCATTGGCCGGCAAAGACCGTTACGATATTCTTGAAGGCAAAGAACAGTCTGGATGGGGTGCAGGGCGAGATGCCCTAAACCACTGGTTCAAGGAACAAAAGATTTCTGCAGCTTTCATAGAACGGATTGACCAAGCCTTGGAAGTGTCGCAGGTACTACCTATCCAACTCATTCAGAGAGAGAAATCCGAGGAGTTCCCAGAGGTAAAGGATGCTGATAGCGGTAAAGAGGATGTCGTCCTTGCAATCCTGGGGACTGAAGCATTGTCGAGGCCATTGACTGGAGAATTTCGTGATGCGTGCAACACCATCCTCCATCACGCCTGGGAGCGCCATCGCAAGCGATACCGGCGGGCGAAGAAGGCATTGGAAAAGAAACACATTAAATCAATGTCATTGGTGAAAAGTGAGTAACGTACATGCGGTATGCAGAGCAGCACTAACCTTTGGCATGCAGAAATCGAGGACACAAAATATGTCACAAAAAAGATGTTGTGCGATGCCACCAAGGCTGTGAAGGCATACAGGGATGCCGTTTCATGGTTTCCCGCTGAAGAGGAGAAAGCGAATGGCTTGGCTGAGCACGAGGAATTTTTAAAGCAAGTCGTGGTCACGGCTGTGGCACAGGCGAAGAAATGGCCAAAGGAAAAGATTACAGCAGAGAGTTTCAGCTCACCAGCGAGTACGTAGTACAACAGTCCCCCATGGGAGCCATGTATGTAATACTGACCTATTTCGCATTGTACTGCAGGACGACGCGGAGCTTCGCGCGCTTGCAGGGTGAAGCCAGTGGCGCTGGCGGCCGCTGGCGATATCGACGAGATTTGGGCATTGTACGTGCAACTATTTGAGGTCGTCCCAGGAGAGGCATTGGTGCCACAAATGGACCTTGACGATCGGAACCCCAGCGGTCAGGACGATTGGCAACGAAGTGATGACCTGGGTGTGGAGGGGTTCAGCAATATGGACGATGCCCAGCTCAACCATCTCCTACAATTCCCTGGTGGGCGCCCAGCTCTCTTCGCAGAATTTCGTTCACAGGGCGGAAAATGTGCGTGGGACAAGGCAGTTTCGTCGGACTTCATCGAGGGCAATACGGACATGCAACCACTGTCGCTGCTGTGGCACCAACGCGTGGGAGTCGCTGCACTAGCGGACAAGATGTGGCTGAAGAAGGAGAATTCGGGTGGTGTTCCTGGAATACTAGTAGCAGACGATGTGGGTGTTGGGAAGACGGCGCTGATGATGGGCGTGATTGCGATGATTATCGATGCATACTGGATTCAGGAGGTGGTCGCAGGTCGAGGGAAACCCACAGGCGTCACGGTAGATCTGAATAAGACGAATGTGCGCAAGGCACCTATGCTAGGTGAGTTGGTATCCCTCAGCAGCCCCTCAGAAGGATACAACAGCCACACGTGGGCCCGTTCCGTGAGGGAGTTGTTTTGTTGGACCTGTTTCTTGCACACGTTATTCTGAACAACGAACTGACATCAGACCTGACTCACTAGAAGAGCGCCCATTTTTCGCAGGCCAAGCCACCATCCCCAGCCTCCCTCACGTCATTGTGGTGCCCAACTCGTTAGTGGGTCAATGGTATGCTGAGCTAAGGACCTTCTTTGCACCGAAGGCAGTGGAAATTTATGAGTATCCGACTGCAGAAAAGCAGTTCCGTGCATTTTGGACAGGCGACTGGGCAACTTCGAAGACACCGCTGGTGAATCGTGTCATCCTGGTGTCTCATTCAGTAAGTGGTTTGTTGGTGGCTGTGTCCGCAGAAGCTTATGTCGTCAGGTGATGACAACATCAGGGAAGGCCTTCGATGTCAGGAAAGGTAAGGCCGGCAAGAACACCGGAAAAGCCGCAGATGCGCAGCGTCACATCAAAAGTCAGGCGCTGACGAAGACCTGCATTTGGTTTGAGCAGAAGTTCCTCACATGTGTAGTCGATGAAGCTCACGTATTCCGCAACCCAACTGCAAATTTTTATGCGCTCCTGGAGCTCACGAAAGCGGTGTTGGTGTCCCTGCTACCTACAGCCACACCACTATATACAAGTCCCAAGGTATATTTGTTTTTCCCCGTTGACTTCGACACCCTCATGCACCTGTAGGACTTGTGCAATTTGGGTCGACTGGCACGTATACCATACTTTTGTGGGCACCAAGGAGACGATCGTGAGAAGGAGCATTGGAAGTCGCTGCGGGCGGCACGCAGTGCAATCAGTCGCCAAGACAAAGAAGAAGCAGCAACACACACCGTCAAAATATTAGCTGGCGGGGCAACAACAGCAACAACAGAGTATGAAGAATCAGCATCCACTGCGCGTGCGCGCGACGTCACAAGGGAGTGGATCAGTGACATCAAGCAAGGGTACAGCGGACATGTGATCCGACGCACAGTTGAATCTAAGACTCACGACGGGAAGAAGATCAACGATATGTTGCCCCCGTACCGTATGATAATTGTCCCTGTGCACATGAAGGGCGATGAGATGGAAAACATCAATGATGGCTTGGATCGCATTTCCAACAAGTAAGTGAACGGCGCCGTCCTCATGTAAACGCTACGATTGCTGACAACAACACAGGATGATGGAAGGTGACAGTGAAAGCTTTAACACGGTGAGCAGCGGTCTCCCCGGGTGAGTCGCACTGGCTCACCCATACGCGCAGAAATTTTACCTCGTAGCGCGCACCAAGGTGGCATTCCCTCATCATACATCCCCAACATATCCTACCGTGAAGACGCTGGAAGAGTGGTCCAATGTTAGATCAACTAAAGTCGACGTTCTGGTTACTCTCCTCACTTGGCATCTGGAGTCTGACGGGCACCCCGTTCACGAGTTTAACGTGGACAGCAATTTCGGCAAGGATGAAGGTCAGGAGGTCTACCCCAATGCTCGGAATCAGGAGTTCCCGCACCTGATGTCCATGGGGAAGCGCAAGATTCTTGTTTATACGGAGTTTCCTATGATGGTACCTCTCCTCTCCTCTGTGAGTGCATTCCTGTGCCCTGCGCTGCAAGTTATGCTGATAATTCACACGACTTAGGTGCTCAAACTGCATAACATTGTTCCGCTGACACTCAATGGGAGTCATGGCGTGGATGAACGAAATGAAATCGTCAAGAAATTCAACGCGGATCCATCAGCGCGCGTCCTCCTGTTCTCCAGCGTTGGTGCCGTGGGACTTAACCTTACAGTTGCCAGTGTGGTCATTCTCTTTGTACGTTGCCCTCCCATGTTGCTGGGGGAATATCATCTCACACGCTCTTAGGATCAGTGTTGGTCCCATATGTTAGTGAACCAAATAATTGGACGTGCGTGGCGGCTAGGGCAGCAGGAGGTTGTCTTGGTCTACAACATGGTGGCGCTAGGTACCGTCGACGTGCTTATGGTTGAGCACGGTGAAGGGAAAGGTACAATGTTAGAGCAGTTTTTGTCTGTCAATCCAGGTATGCATAGCTACTTTTGTGTAATCATCTCAACTCACCACACCAACAAACATAACACATTCCAACCCTACCAACCCCACCAACCAACCAAACCAACCACCCCACCAAATCCTACCAACCAACCAGGGATTGCAAATCGCTTACAGCTGGCGGCCGCAGGTGGACGGCACGTCCAAGACTGTGACAATGACGGTGAGGAAGATAGCACTAGTGATGATGACACTGAGGCGCAGGAGACAAGCCCCAACGCACCATCCCAGCCAGTCGCTGAATCCCCGCGGGACACTGTCTCTCGCAAGTTGTACACGCGGCCTGCCAAAGTGATGAAGACAGGCAGCAAATGCAGTGAAGATGGTGAGGTCTTGGACTTGACCCTTCCTGATGATAGCGAGCAACCTGAACCTGAACCTGAACCCAATGGCGGCCTCCCTCCACTACCTGCAGGAGGAAGTTCACCACTTGCCGGTCCCCTGGGGGAGCTGCCTGCCGCTGGAAACAAAGGTGATCCTAAACATGTCACCGGAACTGGCAGCGGTTCCCATGGGCAACCGCCTTTAATGCAGGATAAACAAGGCAATGCGCGCGCTGATGCACCATCCTCCAGCAGTCCCAATAAGGAGCCGTTAAGCCAGCATATATGTACGACACGCGCAGGGGTGGAGTTAAAGCCCGAGACGCGCCTGCAGCCCCTTGTGGGGGCCACAATGGACAATGACTCTAATTGTAAGTCTGGTCCCACCACGGAGATCATGGTAATCAACAGCTGACATCTCTTATCGCCAGTTGCCGAGGTTCACAATGATGCGTCTCTCTGCGACGACGCTAATATGTTTGACCCATTGACAATGGAGAACGACATCCCAATGTCGCCCCAGGTGAGTCAATGTGTACACCCAACCAACCAACCAGCCTTCACACGTACCATGACTTACACAGACATGTGTCCACCAGGAGCACGAGCTGATGGGTGGCCTACTTGACGAGCCGACACAGATGATGTCAAGAGCATCGCTGGCGACTTCTCAGCCTATCCAAGATCACACCAGCAATCTATCACATAGTCGAAGCTGGAAAACCATCGCTAAACGGCGGCGCAGCAGCACCGCATCATCAGGCTCGTCCTCCACTAACCCTTGTCCTCCAAAGAGTCCACTGCATATTTCGCCTCCATGGAAAAAGGTTGTTGTGCTTGCCTCGCGGGCAAGTTCAAACATTGTCACGCCTAGCACATCTCGGCCCTTGCGATCCTACAGTGCCACCCCTATCCCTACGAACGCTCCTGTCCCTCGTGGTGCAAGGATAGGTCCTGGCTTTTTCCGTGGTAAAGGAACAGGCAATTATACCCGCGGCACTCCTCGCTGATGCATCAGGAAAACCCTCCCGAGTGAAAAACGTTTAATTTGCATAATTTTATCTAATAGTCTGGCATTCGAGTATTAGGAAGAAAGAGACTGAAGAGATAATCATGTATGAAATAATTATCGCAAAATGTCAGAATTATCTTGCAAAGTGTCAGAAATTGAGAACATGTGGTAAGTGGAATTTTTGTGAAGCCTGCAACACCACTTACTCTAGCAATGCATGAAAGTGCAGGTTCTCACTATTTTGGACCTCGTCAAGCTTCTTTGACTTATGCATTTCCACCAATTTACTGTAAATATAACAGTTTCCTACTGGAGTTCATTTGCTTGTGTCTGCTCCTTCTGTTCGTCATGTTATCAATCATTTTCCTAAGCTGATGTGCAACAACTTTGAGGAGTTGTGCCGTCTTCATTCTGTCCACATTGCCGCTTCTGACTCTCACGATTATCTTCGTGATTCATTGCGCGTTCATTTCTGTACCTCTGAATGTGGTGATCAACTTTTTGTATTTAAGCATTTGTTCAGAGCTCGTCAATGTTTCGCTCCAGAAAGTCTCCCAGAGCCGTCTCTCCTACAGAGTGACTCACGATTGCAGTGGGTTTCATCCCAAGACTCGCAAGAGAGTCGAAAGTTGCGATCTGCAGCATTGTTAGAGCAGGAAGAGTCACTGAAATGGGCCAGATATAACCAAGTGTGTATATGTCAATTCAAATTTGGTGTTCTCCTAGATCCAGGAACCACTCATCAGAAGACTCGACTCGCGACAGAACTCAGCGGCCTCGATTATCGAGATCAGATCCGATCCAGATTCAGAAACATTGGGAGACTGATGGCCTCGAGGGCATTATGTATGATGAGTGGGCGTTATGTATGATGAGCGGCCTTGAGGGCATTATGTATAATGACGAGGGATAAGCATCAACCATACATAAAGGCTCGTGTCTAACCAGCTATTATTATGCATAAGTCTGCCACGAACAGGTGATATATATGCATTATTATGACATGCTAAACAATGCGTGAACGCGACGTGTAAGTCACGTGATACGCTCATGTGACACGTATCGCGTTTGCTTCTTATAATAGATCTTACTTCTTCTACGTTCAATGTTCAACTGTTATATTGCTCATATTAACCCTATCTATCTGTATCGCTTCAACTCACGATGAATGTACTAGTGTATCCCAGCACACATCCAGCAACTCCTTCCCTCCTGCAAACCCTTACTTCAATACAGTCACTAGCACCCTCTCAACTCTCCGTGCAAGAATACCTATGGCACACCTCTTGCGTCCTTCATCCTCCTCTCCCCGCCCACAGATCATCCACCTGTTCGAAAATACCTCGAGTCCGGAGGTAGGACATTAGCATTCGGCGTCTCCGTCAGAAAAGGCTTTCTATTCGGACTCCATGACTTGGTCTGCTTTTCTCCGCGCAGAGAGCTGATCCCGATCTTCAGCCTCACATTCTTCCACAGCTTCTTCTGGCTCGTCCACATTTGTGGGACGTGCAGCATAGCGTCATGGAGGCACTTCTCGATCATTTAAGACCTGGGTCAGCTCACAGTGACAACGAATCTCAGCCGAACCAGACGCAAGCAATTGGACTATGCTGTGTAAGTGATAATGTTGAGCTCTTTATCATTTTGTATATCTGAACTGGTGACAGTCTGGCTCTGCCCATCCAAACAGATTCCTACCCATCACTTCACCACTAACGTCTTCGACAGATCTTTAAATATACCTTGCTTTATATCCTCGTGGTGTTGGAGAGGAGTGAGGGTGATGTTTTGAGTAGACTGACCGCGGATTCGAGTCTTGTCGGAGAGAGGTAAGGTCTTGCAGTGCTGCATCCAAGAAAGTTCCATTGAAATGTTGACATACACAGTATCACACAGAATCTCTCAGTCTGTTGGCCGTAAGTGCCATAAACACAGACGCGCTGGGGCATATGCTCTTCAGGATTCTGCCACGAGGGGGCATTGAGGTCGACGCTTCGCGCTATGGGACGGTGAGGTTCGAGAACATCGGATTTGGGTATCCCAGTCAGAAGGGCGTGCAAATCCTCGATAATTTCAATCTCGAGGTTGGCGTCGGAGAGAGCGTGGCAATTGTGTAAGTCGTGCGGACTGGTAGTTGTTGGTGCTGCTGACCTGGAGTATGCAGGGGGAAGAGTGGTGGTGGCAAGTCGTCCATACAATCGTTGCTTCTGCGGTACTACGGTCCTGTTCGTGTGAAAATGACATTTGATGGCCAGGGTGGGTAGTACCTATCTCACTTCTTATGATGCATTAACGTGACAGGATATATATCCGTGAATTCAACCCTTCATCATGGCGCAGCATAATCAGTATCATTCCCCAGGCAAGTGCTCCACATTCCTTCACTGAGTCGTCCTTATCTGACAATGAGAAGGAACCTTTTGTGCAGATGGTGAAAGAGGCTAAAGCACTGCACGCAAAGATGTATTTAAACTACAAAATTGACCCACCTTTCGCTGGTGTCTACCGTGTCGGGAAGCAAGACGAAACCATAGAGTCCTTGAACGTCAAGCAAGGTCAATGTTTGCTCCTACACATCGCTACTGCAAACATGAACGTGAGTCTGTATGTTTCACCGACTCACTAGTCCTGTTGTGGAGAGCTGAACATGTTCCCACGTTCCCACCAGACAAAGACCCATGGCCAGCATACACAGTCTGTAACAGCGCAATACCGGGCGATGATTTCAACGGCGGAAACGAAGCCCTAAACCCACGCGCATTACAACAGGACGGCCAAACCTTCGGTTTATGCTACCCTCCATCTGCTGTTGAAACTGCAATCTCTCGCGGGAAGGACGACGAAGGCAAGAGCGCAATCGAGATGGATCAGACATACAGTTGCGGGACCCACCAATAGTCGAGGTCCCATGCACAGCAGGCAAGCCGTGTGGTGTTACCCCCCTTCCCCCGTTTTTTCTTTCTTCTTCTTTATCACTGACCACTTCTCGTGTAGAGAAACTATCACGCTCGGAGAAAGAAGCCAACCACCAGCTCTTCGCAAATTGCCCATGCCCATCCCACCCAGCAACCACTTCCCAATGCTAATGTCACTGCCTCTACACCTCCCGCCGTCGCTGGTGCCACGTGGACAGCGGGAACGATCACGCGTCCTCAACGCACCCTAGTTCCTGTCCGATCATGGCGTGTTCACCCAACTACAGTTTACGCGCTTCAGAAGTCCTTAATAATACCCATGCTATGTAAAATTCA